GCAGAGCAAAGGAGCTCTGAGGTGTCCTGGAGCAGCAGGGTCTGAGAGTGCTCAGCCTGGCACAAATATCAGTTAACCTGGGCCTCCAAGCTGAGATTTTTAGCCCCAGTGAAGTGAGGACAAGTATTAATGTATGGATTCTTGTTCTATGGCAAGGAAGAATTTTCTGGATGAAAGCTTTAATTAGATTTGTTTGGACCATGTTCATATGCCTCCTGGGTTCCCTTTCTGTGAATACTTTAAATAACAGTTTTATTGGCAGGAACGTTTGTGCAAACTGCAAATTTGGGGTCAGCATCTCAGCTGATTTATGTCAGCTCAGGCCTCTCCAAGGCAGTGGAGGTGCACCAATTGACACCCACAGAAAGGCAGACTCCCTAAATGAATATTGAGAAATTAGTCTTGGAACATAAACTTGGAGTGGAAACCTCCAAGTGCTTGTGCTGGAAACCTTCTCCTGAGGCTGCAGCAGCTTTCTAATTGCAGCAGGGAGCATCCACCACCAGTCAGCAGGGATCCTGGCATCCTCCAGCATCTCCTCACCTCCTCTGTCTCCCCAGATGGCAGTGCTCTGCTCCCAGCCAGCCCTTCCCATATCACTTGCCCTCTTGTTACCACCACCCAGAGTGAGCTCTGTGGTCTAGATTGGTTGCCCCAGGGGCATCCAGAGCCCTCACCCTGCTGGGGCTTGATCCCTGGTTGGGGGTTTTGGGGGTGTTGAGTTTGGAGGCTTTGAGGGATGGAAAGTGAGGGGGGATGGGGCTGAGCCTGGGGATGGCAGGAGAAAAAGGAGGCGAGGGGCCCTCTGATTGCTGTCTCCTGGAGGAGCTGGAGCATGCCCAGAAACAATAAATGTCCAGAGATGATTTGATGTGAGTTAGGATGGAAAAGCATCACGGAGGGCGCGTCTGAGAGAAGCTCCTGCTTTAAAACTGCAGTGAACTCTTGAACAAGTTCTTCTGCATTTGCAAAGCTGGGCTCCATATGGGCCAGGGCTCCAGGGAGGGGGTGGTTCCCTCCCTGGGGGGGCAGAACCTGCTCAAGACACCTTTGGCCAGTGCTGCAGCTGGGATGAGGGGAGGTCAGGAGTGGCTGGGCAGATGTAGGAGCACAGGAGGGAGCAGAGGTGTTGGATGCTGTGCAGAGAGGATGTGCTGCCTCACTCCCCATTGCTCTGGGGGGCACTCAGGACCTCACCTGGCAGGGAGCAGGTCCAGACCTGGCATTGCTAGCAGGATGCTTCACTGATTGCAATAGTCCCTACATCCAAAATGTTCCACAGAGCATCTGTCTTGTGTGACAAAGGCTGTAAAATGTGGTAAGAATGAGCTCTAAACCTAGGGAA